TTTGGATAGATGAATAAAAGAAAATACATTCGGATTTAATATATACATTTTTTTGGGGTTCCAATTCACTTGAAATAACAACATGGAGGGACAAATATTGTATTCATAAAGTAGAAAATAGCAAAGTATATTTGTAATTTTTATAAATTGTGTAAATATATATATATATATATATATATATATATATATATATATATATATATATATATATATATACTAGTTTTTTTACGCGCTTTGCGCGAATGGGATAATGCCCAATAATTATTTTTAAATAAGTACTCCAAAGTATATCAATGCAATATTATATAGAAGATGTTCATGTATAGGTAAATAAATGTTGAATTTATTTATTTAAATCGGTAATTTAAAGTATATAATTGCAAGATAATATATGAGAGATTGATTATAACTGTCACTAAAATAAATGTTTGCAACTTTGTAATAACGCTAGTCTAAATACTTAGTCTTAAAGCGATAGTCTAAATAAATACTACTTTTTGTTTAAATTTCTCTAATTCTTCTTAATTCTTTTTTGGGTAGCATTGTTGTTGTTTTCATCTTCAGTACATGTCTTTTTTTTTTTATTGGTAGTGTGTCATGTGCAATTAGGTTACTGGTAGCAGGATAGAGGGATTCATCATGCAATGAGATTATGGTGTAGGAAGTTTTAGATTTGCCTTGTTATGTATATGACTGAGATTTTAGTTGTAATATGAACTCTTTAGTGTACAAATACCTATTGATATTTAGTAGTGGTAGTTTATTTCCTACATATTTCATGTGTTGTGAGATGTGTGTCGTAGGTTATCATGTGAAAGTATTGAACAAAATATTAATATTTATTATATTTAATTTGTATAAAATACTTGGTAAATAAATACATAAATAATAAATAAATAAATAAATAAATATATATATATATATATATAACATGTTTTGTATTATAACTTTGATATTTAATTACAAGATAATGTAAAAAAGAAGACAATGAACAATGTAGTGAATATAATAAATTAATAAATTTGAAGGTAAGGAATCTTTGAATTGTAGAAAATAAAGATAATATAACTAATGAAATTATATTTCTTTTAAATTTTTTTATAATGAATAATTTTTTTTTTTAAATAAAGCATTATAGACATCTAATTCTAAATTAATTAAATGCATATGCATTTTTTGTTGTAGCTACTAATTTATTTAATTAATAAGAGTAATAAAGTGTCGTACATACTTTTCTTTAACAATAATGAAATCAATGATTTTTTTAAAAAAATTTCCATTCCTTGTTGAGACAAATTGTTTGTCTATAACAATTGCTACAATTGCTGTCAATAGAGGATGATAATAAATAATTCAAAATATATGGTTACAATAGATATTAATATAATGATATAGTAAAAATTAACTTACAAATTTCTTTAAAAGTTTTCATGCATTGATAAAATTTTGATGTGTAAAATTGTTCAATTGGAGCTAGTAGGATGTTAACATTGTCAATTATTTGAAAAATGATCTTACTGTTTTAGAGTCCATGTGTAATTGTATTTATGATCAACAACTTTGTAGTTAGGCCGCGCAGGTCTGACAATGATGTAAGAACAATTTTGTCCGATAAAAAAAATAATAGTATAATATTTGTAAAGTAATGTAGAATTGTACCATTATAAAAAAAATACAAAAAATATTAATACCATAATGGCCTAAATCATTCCAATAATGCAAAAGCATAATTGAAATATTAAGTGTTGTTCTAAATAATCCGAAGAAGATTAATTTAAAAAAAAAAAAAAAAAAAACTTAACCTAAATTTATTTTTTTTAATAAAAAAATTCAAGAAAATCAAATGATTTTAAAGTAGTTCTTGATTTATAATATTTGATGCTCAACTTTGAATGCTATTTATTTAGTCGAGTTAATTATTTGACCAAAGTTTATGTTAAATTTTATATTATATATATTTTTAATACATTTTAACATATTCATAATATATGTTTAACAATTATGCCAACTATACTTGGGATGAGGTTCGAACCTAAGACCTTATATAAATTAAGAGTATATTAAAAATAATAAATAGTTAACGGAATATTCCGTTACTAAAGTTTAAACTAACGGAATTTAAGGTTATTTAAGGGAAGAAAATAATATAATAGAGGGTAAATAAGGAAAATCATTAAAAGATACTAAAATCAAAATAATATGAACCATTCATTTTAAGAAACAATTAGTACCGACATTTTTTTTTGTTCCAGTTAAGGGCCTAACATTATTCGCTCTTATTAGATTTGTAGATGTAGATATTGCATACAATATCTAGCATTTCTATTATGAGACTAGGGCCATGTTTGGTAAATGACTATTAGCTGATAGCTGTTAGTTAATTTGGTTAGCACTAGTTGATAACATTAACTGATTGTAGAAATGTGTTTGGTAAATTAGCATTTTAGAGTTAAAAAGTTAATTAATCAAATACTTATATTGATTTTTTTTTAACCAAGTCATATAGCCAATAACGGTCAAATAAGCCAAAATTAGCTGATAATCTAACAATTTTATCAAACAAGGCCTAACTCAAATTATGTTTCTAATCACAGTAAATACATTCATAGTAATATTTTAAGTGGTAACCATTAGGGGTGGGAAATTTGGTTCGATTTTCCAGAACCGAACTAAATTGAATCGAATCGAACTAGTAATATATCGAAAAAACAAACAGTTTGGGATTCTTGTAAACTGAATGGTTCGATTAAAAATCGAATCGAACCTAACCGAACACCATTTGTTTTTAAAATGAATAATAATAATAATAACAACAACAACAACAACAACAACAACAGCAACAGCAACAACAACAACAGCAACAACAACAACAACAACAACAACAACAACAGCAGCAGCAGCAGCAGCAACAACAACAACAACAGCAGCAGCAGCAGCAACAACAACAACAACAACAACAACAACAACAGCAGCAGCAGCAGCAACAACAACAACAACAACAACAACAACAAAAAAAGTAAATCTAAGCCCCCCTGCTCCGCCGTTCAGTTCATATTCTTACTAGTATTTTCTTAAATTTTTTATTTGATTTCTTTATAGTTTGTTCTCTACTTTGCACTTTTTGTTGTTTGCCGCAATTGTTCTTTACCTCACACTTATATCTAACTTTAGTTATTCTTACAATATTCAGTATTTTTCTTTGTTTCATGTTTCTATGAAATTAATGTGCTTTAATATCATTATAATTTTGATTTCCAATGCACTGGAATTATTTTTAGTACTAGAATATATTTTCAGTGCACTAGAAAATAATATTCCAGTGCACTAGCAATGACAAATTGTATTTAAAAATTAATTATACAGTACTTGATAACTTGTTCTCCAAATATTAACTATACACCTAGATAATTATTCATCTTGTCAATAAAATATTCCAAGTGAGCCTGAAGTGTCGATTGTGCAAAAAAGTGTTTGATAATTAGTACTTAATAGTGTGCTTGAACTTTGGATTGCTATTTTGTTATATAATGTTTAGACTTTGAATTTGGACTATGTGAATATGTATTGTTTGGTAGTGTGGTTGTAAAATTAGGAAATATTAAAAATTTAGGGTTCTTAAATCGAATCGAATACCGAACAAATTCCGAACTGAACTATAATGTTAAACTGAATGGTATTATTATTATTTTTTAAAAATAACAATTGCAGAGTGTGGTTGACTAAGGGTCCGTTTGGAAAGCAGGAAAATGACTTCTGGAAAATGTTTTCTGGAAAATGAGCCATTTTCCGGAAAATATTTTCCTTTCCAGTGTTTGATTGCATTCTGAAAAACTGTTTTTGTGTGTTTGGTTCATTTTCTGGAAAATGAGTGGAATTGTATAATTAAACATTTTAATTATTTTATTTAGAATATTATAACATGTATAATAATATATAATAATAATTTTAAATATAATAAAAAAAACTAATAATATATCAAAAATATTATGGCGTGGTGGTGTAGTGGTAGTGGTGTTATTTGTTATATAATAATAATAATAATAATAATAATAATAATAATAATAATAATAATAATAATAATAATTGGTGGTGGTATGACGGTGGTGGCAGTGGTGGTGGTGGTGATGGTGTGGTGGCGATGGTATGGTGGTGGTGGTGGTGGCGGCGGCGTCGGTGTGATGGTGGTGGTGGCGGTGGTTGCGGTGGTAAGGTGGTGGTGGCGGCGGCGGTGGTATGGTGGTGGTGGTGGTGGCGACGACGGTGGTTGCGGTGATATGGTGGTGGCGGCGTTGGCGGCGACGGTGGTGGTGGTGGTGGCGGCAGTAGTGGTGGTGGTGTGATGGTGGTGGTGGCGGCAGCGGTGGTTGCGGTGGTATGGTGGTGGCGGGGGCGGCGGTGGTTGCGATGGTATGGTGGCGGCGGTGGTTGCGGTGGTATGATGGTGGTGGCGGCGGTGGTTGCGGTGGTATGGTGGTGGTGGTGGCGGCGGCGATAGTGGTGGTGATGGTGGTATGAGGTGGTGGTGGTATGGTGTTGATGATGTTGGTGTAAAAGTTGGAAAATGACTTCCCCCAAAAAAAGGGAAAGTCATTTTCCTCCAAAACAAGCCTATTTTTCAAAGTCAACGGAAAATGATTTCCATTGACTTGATTTTCCATACACAACCAAACAATGGAAACTTGGAAAATGATTTCCAGAACTCATTTTCCAAGTTTCCAAACACACCCTAAAAGAAATTTTTCTATCATTAACCAAAAAAAATCAATAATTCAATTTTTTTTTAGGTATAGAATAATTTATCCAAATTAACTATCACACATGCCTTATCATTTTGAATGTAGGCTTATCCTAAAATAGAGAATAAACTTTATAATTCATGTGAATGACGACAGTGCGGAAACGAAAATAACAGCAACGTAAAAAGGGCGGAAAAGAAAAACAAAAATGGCAAAAATAATATAAAATGGAGACAGCTACGCGTTTTCTGAAAGAAGGAAGAAACTACCCACTACTGTGCTGTCAATCTTGTCCTCTTTCTCTCTCCTCTTCCTCTCTTTTTTTCCCTTCCTCTTTACTTTCTCTCTCTCTCGTAGCTCGCTCTTCTGTACACAGGAAGCACCCGAAACTTAGGGTTAGGGTTTTTGTTTCCCAGCAAAACCCCAACTGCTAGGTCCGCTTCGTAGCAGGAGACCGCGAGCTTGCGTGGCTTGGCGTGTCGGAGCAGCTTCGTAGGGTTTTCAGTAATGGGTCGTCGTTCTTCCGTGATCAAATGGTACCACCTGCACAAATCACTGAAACTGTTGCTTCTCATTTGGAGTGTTGCGTTGGGGTTGGATTCGGATCAGGCGGCGCTGCTGGAGTTCAAGGCCTCGGTTTCGGACCCCGCCGGAGTGCTGTCCAGCTGGAGCTCCGGCAGTTCTGATCACTGTTCGTGGGTCGGGGTGTCCTGTGCTTCCAATTCCCGGGTCGTTGCTCTCAACATCAGCGGTGGAGGTAATTCTGGCTCTTTGTCTTGCGCTAAAGTTGCTCAGTTTCCGCTCTATGGGTTTGGGATTAGGAGGAGTTGTTCGAATAGTAATGTGAAACTCGTGGGTAAACTATCTTCCGCTCTCGCGAAGCTCACTGAGCTTAGTGTCTTGTCACTTCCGTTTAATGAATTAAGTGGTGACATTCCTGAGGAGATTTGGGGTATGGAGAATCTTGAAGTTTTGGATCTGGAAGGGAATTTAGTTACTGGATCTCTGCCGTCTGTGCTTAAAGGTTTAAAAAAGTTGAGGGTTCTTAACCTGGGCTTCAATAAGGTTGTAGGGGGTATCCCTAGTTCGTTGAAAAACTGTGTGGGTTTGCAAGTCTTGAACTTGGCTGGGAATCAGATGAATGGGACTATTCCTGGTTTCATTGGTGAATTTAGAGATCTGAGGGGTTTATACTTGTCTTTTAATCAGCTCAATGGGCCAATTCCAAGTGAGATTGGGCAGTACTGTGGAAACCTTGAGTATTTGGAGCTGGCAGGTAATTTCTTAACCGAGGGGATTCCAACAAGTTTGGGTAGTTGTAGACAGTTGAAGTCAATACTGCTATATTCAAATATGTTGGAAGAGAGTATTCCTGTTGAACTTGGTCAACTGAATGAACTTCAAGTGTTGGATGTGTCAAGGAACAGCCTTAGTGGCTCCATACCTTCTGAGCTGGGAAATTGCTCCAAGTTATCCATTCTTGTGCTGTCGAACTTGTGGAATCCACTTCCTAGCCCTTCAGATTCAGCAGTTGATGCCTCGACTGCACAGTTGGCATCCGGTAATGATGAATACAACTTTTACGAGGGCACAATTCCAGCTGAAATTACTGGACTGTCTAGTTTGCAGATGATTTGGGCTCCTAGGGCAACTATTGAAGTTAAATTCCCCAGCGGCTGGAGTGCATGCACCAGCTTGGAGATGGTTAATTTGGGTCAAAACTACTACATGGGAGAAATCACGGGGGTATTTAGTAACTGCAAGAGTTTGCGTTTTCTGGACTTGAGCTTAAACAAGCTGACTGGAGAGCTTGTTGAAGACCTTCAAGTTCCTTGCATGAATGTGTTTGATGTGAGTGAGAATTCTCTTTCTGGTCCACTTCCCAGATTTAAAAATAGCACTTGTGCTCGTCTTGGACATGTAAACAAAGATCCACTTGAGCTCTATGATACATCTTCTGCCTACCTGTCATTCTTTACCGTTAGAGCTATGCTTGAAACCACTTTGTCATTATTTGGCGATGGGTTTGGTTCTGCTGTAGTTCATAACTTTGGTGGTAACAACTTTACAGGTCAGTTGCCATCCATGCCCATAGCACCTGAAACATTAGGAGAGCGAAGTGCTTACGCATTTCTTGCGGGTAGTAACAATTTTACTGGGCCTTTTCCTGAAATTATCATTGAGCAGTGTCATCACATGAGAAGTTTGATTGTTAATGTGAGCAATAATGGGTTGTCTGGTTTGGTTCCAACAGATATTGGTTCTAACTGCGGGTCTCTAAAACTTTTTGATGTCTCCAAGAATCAGATTTCTGGGACCATTCCTCCAAGTGTAGGGCATTTGGTTTCTCTTGTTTCTCTCAATCTAAGTTGGAATATATTGCAAGGCCAGATACCCAGCACCTTTGGGCTGATGAAAGATCTCAAATATCTTTCTTTAACTGGCAATAAGTTGAATGGATCCATCCCAACAAGCCTGCAGCAGCTGAAGTCTTTGGAAGTGCTTGATCTTTCTTCAAACTTGTTGTCTGGACAGATTCCAAAAGATTTTGTGAACTTGAGGAACTTGACTGACCTCCTCCTGAACAATAATAACTTGTCAGGGGAGATCCCTTCTGGCTTTGTGAATGTGACCACGCTGAGATCATTTAATGTGTCATTTAATAACTTGTCTGGGCCACTACCTCCTAATGGTAATTTAGTGAAATGCAATAGTGTCCTTGGGAACCCTAATCTGCAATCTTGCCATATCTTTTCTCCATTTCCGTCCACAGATCAGCTAGGAATATTAGGGGATTCACCAAGAGCTTCTACCCCTCCTTCAACAAGTCCGACACAAAGGGAAGGAAATGGAGGGTTCAATTCAATTGAGATTGCATCCATAACATCTGCAGCAGTTATTGTGTCAGTTCTCATTGCTCTTATTATCCTCTTCTTCTACACTAGAAAGTGGAACCCAAGATCCAGAGTCGCTGGATCTATCAGAAAGGAAGTCACAGTCTTCACCGACATTGGGGCTCCTTTGACATTTGAAGATGTTGTACAGGCCACTGGGAATTTCAATGCTAGCAATTGCATTGGTAATGGTGGTTTTGGAGCAACATACAAGGCTCAGGTTGCACCGGGAGTTCTAGTTGCAGTAAAACGGCTAGCAGTAGGACGGTTTCAAGGTTTTCAACAATTTGATGCAGAAATCAAAACTTTGGGGAGGCTGCGGCATCCAAATCTGGTGACATTGATAGGATATCATGCCAGTGAAACAGAAATGTTTCTCATATATAATTACTTACCAGGAGGCAACTTGGAGAAGTTCATCCAGGAAAGGTCCACGAGGGCTGTGGACTGGAGAATACTTCACAAAATTGCCCTAGACATAGCCCGAGCACTTGCCTACCTACACGATCAATGCGTGCCACGTGTGCTTCATCGTGATGTCAAGCCTAGCAATATCCTGTTGGATGAGGACTACAATGCATATCTATCTGACTTTGGATTGGCAAGGCTTCTAGGAACCTCAGAAACTCATGCCACTACCGGTGTGGCCGGAACTTTTGGATATGTTGCTCCTGAATATGCAATGACATGCCGCGTCTCTGACAAAGCCGATGTGTACAGTTATGGGGTCGTGTTGCTCGAGTTAATTTCAGACAAGAAGGCTCTTGATCCCTCCTTCTCTTCTTATGGAAATGGTTTCAACATCGTTGGCTGGGCCTGCATGCTTCTAAGACAAGGCCGTGCCAAGGAGTTCTTCACAGCTGGGTTGTGGGACTGTGGTCCACGTGATGATCTGGTGGAGGTGCTACACCTGGCTGTTGTGTGCACCGTAGAATCTCTGTCTACCAGGCCGACAATGAAGCAAGTCGTAAGACGACTAAAGCAACTTCAACCCCCATCTTGTTAGCAGCTGCATTTGGATGCTAGGTGACTAACATTGTAATCATGTAATGAAAATGAATGCATATAAAGGTAAAAGTGCAATTGTATTTTAACCTCTGCACTTTCAGGAAGAAGTGCATCTCAGAATCCTGTAGGGTTTTCTTCTTTTCTTTCACTAGGTTCTTCATGCTTGAGTTTGTAATTTGTAGCCAGCTTCATTGTAAATTTTTAGTATAGCTTTGCCCCCCCATTTTTCTGTCATCCTGTACCTTGTTACAGAGGGTTCACCTATGCATCTGCAGAAGAGTGCAGATTCTTTAATATGTCTTCTCTAACACCTGTATACATCTACCTCATTTGTATTTCTCCTTTGTTCAATAAAATTATAAATAGGAAGCCTTTTCTGCAACCAAAACAACCTCAAAAAGAAAAATCCCCCCAATGCCATTTCTGGTTGATACTTGATTTGTGGACCTAAGTTGTCTTTTGCTCTTAACTCCCTGATAGTGATGAGTCCGGATATTTTAAAGTATTGGGCTTAGAGCATCTCCAATAGGTGAGTCCTTGCAGGTGTGATTATGAAAGAAAAGATAAGAATGAAGGGAAAAGGGGAAAAAAAAAAAAACAAAATTTGAAAAAAAGGAGAAGTGTCAAATTAATGTGCCTAGCCGCGTGAAGTACGCTTGACTGAGCGAGCCTGGTGCGCTTCACGTGCACCAGGGAGATTCTTTGCTTTTCTAGTGGGCCTCACTTTTCCTGTAAAAACCAAGGATCTTTTGCAACAACTCATTTTCTTCTCTCTCTCCACATAAGCATTAGTATCCGCAAAAACCAATGAAAATCTCCCTGTTGGGGATGCTCTCAAGCCATTGGTCTGTCACTTTAATGAGTTTAACTCTCTCATATAAATATATCTAGATATTTTAAAGTATTGGGTTTACAACATTGACATGTTTAAGAGAAGTTATAGGGAAGTCTAGAGTAGATCAGGTATTAGCCTAGCAATGTAGGGACTGTCCAACCCACCCAATGAGTTTAACTCTCTGATGATAACAAATTCAAATACCTTATAGTATTAGAGGAGAGAAAAATTGAAAGTAAATTAAGCATCGACTTAGGCATGCAAGGACTCTACCCTCCGGACCAAGATCCATGATAGTGACTTGTTCGAGATAACATGAGAATAGGTCATGTGTGATGTAACTAGTTATGATAGGACTGAGTCACAATGCAACTAGAGTAGGGAAATATTATAGAATTAATTCCAGCAATAGTCCTCTGATTATAGTGATTTTTCAAATTTGGTCCTTGTCTTTTAATTTGGATGAATTAAACCCTTGACTATCAAAATCGTTCCACCATTAGTCCTTCCGTGAACTTAGTGTTAGTTAGGCGTTAAAACCAGGGGTAAAAATTACCAGGACTAAATTTGGAAAATCATTGGCAAAATCTTTTTATCTACTTTGCTATTTAGTCCTTATATTCTAGACTTATTCTTGCTTTGCTCCGGGACTACGTTTCAATGTTTCATCAATATTCATATAGCGCTGCAGAATTAGTATGATTGCACTATAGACTATTAGACTATAGAGCACAGTCGATAGGATTGTGTAATTCTTGCTTCATTAGATGCTCTTTCTCCAATTAAGAAAGTTAATTAAACCCAAATTTTCAAATAAATGCATCGGTTCATCGTTGAGTTTGAATTAATAACTTGTACGTACCTTACTATTCTCTTTGAGTTACACGACGATTAGATTTGGATTTTGGAGCGATAAAAATGGAAAACAGCTCTCCCTCTCGTTCTCGCGCGAGGGTTTTAGAGACTAGCATTCAATCCTTGCATATTTTTTTTCTGGATTAGTATATGCATTTTCAACCTTTCAGTTGTTAGAAAGCTCAGCACCGATCGTTTTGGCTACTCTTTTGTATGTACACTTTCGAGATGTTGATAATATGGCTTTCTTCTTGGAAAATTTAGCAGGTAGGAGTCGCCATTGAAGGGGAAAATGAAGGATTTAGCAGTGTCATCGCATGGGAAGTTAGATTGTTAATCCTCCATTTATTTCATTTGTATGCTGCCTGCATTTTTCTGACCCGTAAGAGTTGTATGGATTCGAATTGGGTGGATAATATGAAAAGCAGGTGGAGGATTCCTGAGGTTGAGCTGGCTCAAGAGCACTGAAATGTGTGCAGAGCTTTGTTAATGGAGTGAGTGAATTTGTAGCAGCAATAGGCCGTTTACAGGCTGAATCTGCAGTAGCTGCTGAAGCCTGAAGGTGTTTACTTCTAGGCAATGATGCTGTTCAGAATAGGTTAAGTAGTCGCCATGATGATGATGGCAGGACAAGTTTTTGGAAGGAGTACACACTATTCAGGTAAGGATGGTGATGGCAGGAAAAGTTTTTGGACAGAAAACGCCCTATGCAATTCAGGTAAAGAAGTTACCTAAAGACATTGGGTACAGTAGTGAGCATTTTACTCTTGATCTTATGGTTTATGAGATATTTGTCTAAATTCTTATCCAACTATGTAAATGCAAGTGATTTTATGAAGGATAGAATAAGGTACATTTTGCATCATATTATCAAACTGACTGTAATATTTGTGAACATGGTGATGAGGATAAACATTTTATTTGTTTGTGGGTGCAGAAATGTCAAAATAAGTCATCCACTAGAAGTTTGGGGACAATGTTTTGATTGATTTACATGCCAGTAATAGGGGAGGTGAAGCTTGTGATGGCAACATATGGAATTTGAAATGTAACTAACCATTGTGAAGAAAATTGGTTCTCTTTACAATCTTAGCAGTTCATGCATTGACTGTAAGACGGGTATTGTACAGGATGTTTCAATGAGTAACAAGAATAGAACATTGAAGCAACTATTTTGCAAATAGTTGCCTGCAATGCCCCCTTGATCTATCTTGCAGCCCTGCAGCCTCATCACTAATTACCTCAGTAATGAGATCCTTAAAGATTAGGCGTTCAATGTCCAATACTAATGCTGGAATCTCGCAACGAGATTCTACCCAGTCCTCCAGTTCATGCTTCATATCTACATTTAAGATGCTATCCAATTCATCTTCCTCACTGTCCAGACTGCTGTCTGATTTAGGCCGGAGAAACTTCATCTCTGTATGTACTTCTTTCAGAAACTGATGTCCACTCAAACATCCCCTGCCCCGCATTAAAAGGCCTTCTGATGATAGTTTGTGGACAATAATTTCATTGACTGTATCAAATACAATTTTCCTGTGAGTTCTCTGATCAAACTTTAACTGAAAAATCTCTTTTGTGGATCCTTCATTTGCTAGTCGGGTGCTTTCCTCTGTTTGTTCTAGTACGTCAAACAACATGGGGTTGAGCAGATGGCCTGTTGGATGAAGGCAAGTGGTTGTTGAGGCACGATCTACATCTCGGAGGAGGCCTGATGCTAGTAGTATCTTATTGACATATTGATGGTCAGGATTATCGCTCTGACAGAAGAACTCTATTTGATTCACAGTATCTTCCTGGGGTGTAGAGTTCAGTAGACTGAGCTTATGAACTGGGGGCTCAATAGTTTCAAATTTCTTATGATTGAACTCCGAGCCAAGATTTTGTCTGGTGCTGACTGGTAAATGGTCCAAATCCTGTGTATGCCATTCTACTTCATTATCATCAGCAGCATCATAATCTGTAAAAGGCGGGAAAGGATGCAAAACTTTTATTAGTCAAACTATATTCAATGTGCTTGGGCAAACAAATAAATTTCTGCATGTGTGGAGTTTTAGCGTTCTTCTTTGCATCCTTGTGATGATATCTCTTTACATCTTAATTTTCTAAAGCATTGTATAACTAACAATATATCTGTACCTTCATTCTAATTTCTTCATATAAATAGCATAAAAAATAACTGGGAATGTAAAACATTATGCACTGTTTTATGAGCTATCTATTTGCAAAAGATCCCTGGTGAGATGGCCTTAAACATTTATTATTCGAAACAGGATATTTAATGGGGCAAGATTGGTACCTCTAAAAGCTGTTGATATCTTCTTCACTGGAGATGGTGAATCTTCTATGTAAAATTTTGCGTCAAGCACGGAAACTGGACTTGGTTGTTCAATTGTGGCAATCTGAAGTTCAGCTTTTGGTGAATCCTCACTTAGCCTCACTGAAGGATCCTGTATGGCAGGAGGAAAAATCTAAGAAACTAGTTATATGGTGTAAAAAAATAAATACAGTGTAGGTTAATCACTTACCATCTCTTTACAGTTTCTTCGCTGTTTTCCTCCTATTTCAGTATACTGATATTTGCTTGTGATTTCTGTGTCCATAAATGACACCATGCTAATGTCGTTTTCTGATAGTACTGAAGCTGTGTCACCTTGCTCACTGAAGTTTCTTGTGTCACTGCTGACCTCACTCTTGTCGTCACCACCTTGCTGCCGATTGCCAGACTTGTGTTTGTATCTCCTATTTGGCAATCCTAACTCTTTTGTTTGTTTATTTTGGTTCCTTCTAACTCTGCTTGGTTCAGATGGTGGAAGATGAGATTGCTTCTCCATGCCATGCCTTTTCTCTTGCAATCTTGGACTTACTGTGCCTAAACTTCTCTCAACTGTGTGACTATGGCCTCCTCTTATTTGTTCAGAGGCTCTTGAGCCATGTACTGCTTTTGATGATCTTCCATTAGCCTTCCTGTCTTCTGGAAGAAGATGCCGGTTAGGATCTTTGACATTATTTCTCCTAGGTGCCATAGCAACTGAATCTTCTCTGTTACATATTGGGGAACTTGCACGTTTGATCTTATCATTAAGTTTGGCTGATTTCATGATCTGAATGGAGGAATCAGCGGGCCTTCTCGGGGAACTAGACTCCTTTTTGGCAGCACAGTGGCGAATTTGTTGCTGCACTGATAGCCTGGGGCTCTGATCATAAGAAACGTCATCTGTACTGTATCTGTTTGTTTGCAAGGCCTGTTCTTGGTTTTCGCTCTCCAGCCTTGTTCTTCTCTTTTGCATTGCTTCAAGTATTTGTTTGAGTGCTCTGAGATCCTTCCCAGATTTTTTGAACTCAAGTTCTGTTATCCTTTTCTCAATTTCACCATAAACGGAGGGCACCCTTAGAGGACTCATAGAGGCTTCCTTACTTTTCTGCAATGTTTTCTGTAAAGCCCTGCCGGAGTCTGGTTGCTGCCATGGAGCTAGTTCTAATGGAAGCCTTGAACCTGAACCTGGCTTTATGATTGAATATGCAGGTTCTAATCTGGGTGAGGAAGAATCCTTTCGTGAAACCTGTGGGGAACAGGTTACTTGATTTTTCATTCTTGAAACAGAATCTTCAGCAGGGAAGACTCTATCTTTTATCACTTCACCCTCATTAATGGCAGTAGAATAAGGAAATTCTTCCAATCCCATTAGCCTTGC